TATATACTGCTATCTTTGTATGGAGTTAGTGAGAGAATTTTTAGGTTTATTTGTTGATTATTTGTAGCCAAGTTCAGTTTGATCATGTGTTTTCTCCAAAAACACTCAGACATTGTCTCTTGGATCCTTTATTCACTGATATCTATGAACTTTGCAAAGTAAAACTTAAATAAAGCTTTCCTCAGATAAATCTATTATTTTTTTCAAAATTAAAATTTATTGCACTCTTCATTCACTTTGATCTTCAATTTAAAACTTCTCTACCAAAAGAAAAATGCATGTTAATTATACAATATACCTGAGCAGTATGAAATTGCAAACATGATAGTTTATAAGCCAAAATGTTTCTTTCCTCTCTCTTGTAATGACCTACAAAAAATTGCATTTCTGCAATTTTTTGTAGGTCATTACTAGGAATGTAAGCATTGTTTAATTCAATAGCCTTTGTTGTAATTTTAAAAGGAAAATTAAATAAAGAAATGAATAAAATAAGAACTCGCTGTTTAAATTCTCCATTGCAACAGCACACTGTTTCATGGCCAGTGACAGATTTTCTTTTTTTAGCTGCTGTCTATAAAACTTTTGTACAAAAGTCCGTTGTCGTCCTTAATATCCAGTTGGAAGAGGAGGAAAAACAAGATGGTGAAACGGGCAATGGACGACCCACCTAAAGACCAATTGCAGCTTGAGTATGTGCAATCAATCCCAGAGGCTCAAATATACAAAGGGGTGCTGTTGCAGGGGTACCTAGTACCTGCAGACTTACTGGAGGGACTCGAAGATATGCCCATTAGACGCGACGATGTATTCATCATCACATACCCGAAATCAGGTAAACACTGTCATTAGATTCTTCTGATTCGAGCGCCTATATTTTTTGTTCCACATTAGTATTGTGTCTTGAAAAAATTTGTAAAATGTAAAAACTATAAAAATCTGTATAAAATCAATGATCGCCGGTGATTCTTGTTTAAGTTAAAGCAGAGAAAAATAAAAAAAATCTCAGTTTAAGTGCCTTTCATTTGAGGCAAAACCATCTCGTCATAAAGAGTTTTAGAACGGACAAATAGTTTAAATATTAAATTTTTTAAAAAAAATAATGGCCAATTCGGTGAGATTTCTCCCCCTAAATAAAATTATGAAAATCAATTAATTGGGTACTTGCACTTCAAGAAATAGACCTTCCATACTCGCGCGTGTAACTTATGACGTTAGCGAAAGCTAATCTTTATCAGCAAAATGGCACATTAAAGCTGAGTCGTATTCTCTACTTAATAAGTTAGAATGTATGTTAACGATAAGTTAATTGAATACAAAGTCGTATCGCACATAGAATTAGTTGAAATATAGTTCTTTCTCGTCTATTTCTTATACTTGGCTTGTATTTATTATTTGTTTATGCATTTTGTAGTTATCGTGATATATTTTTGTTTTGTGTACCTGGCAACTTCGATGCATAATTACGTAGTTTGTTTATGTTCCATGGCTTCGTGCATGTATGTCTTTGTGTTAAGTCTCTGTGTAAATATATAGTGAAAAAATTGAAACTTTTGAAAAAGAATCTTAATGAAAGAATTTAGAATGTGTCACTTAAGAAAATAAATACTTGACGGGCTTGGTTTACACAAATCAGGATCGAGATACCCACATTACGTCCACTTGCTGATTTCCCATTCTCCAATTTTGCAAATTTTATTAGACCATCATTAAATTAATTTTCTGAACATTAAAAACATGAGATCACATACCCTTTTCGTTTTCACAAAACTGTGGCTTTTCTTCCGTTGACGTTTTGTGCCGTTTTCAGAAATAAAATAGAGAGTAATGGCTATAGATAGGCTTAACTTCTCCTAACAGTCATGAATAATTGTCGCAAACTCAAAACAGTTATGAAAATATATTATTCGTAAAGTAATATATTTTTATAACTGCTCAAAGAAGATACTTTATGTGATCAAAAAAGACATTTCATGTGGCAACAGAATTTCAGAAATACAGCTGTAAGTGTATCTACCACTACAAACATACAATTCCAATTCTCTAGTACATAAGACATGTTAACTCGATTCTACGTTGGGGTACCTTTTCATAGATAAAGGTTGACATTATCAATATCTACTATCCCCACATTGGTGACCAGGACCTGATGGGAAAACGCCTACCTTGACAGAAAACTTGATATGAACACGCCTATTTTGATAGTAACGCCCACTTCGATCTGAACACGCCTACTTCGATGGATGGTTCACATTGAACAGTTGACTTGCTACATGTGACTGCGACGTTATCCACCTTCTCGAGCTGTTGCTACTCAGTCTCCATCTCGTACAACATGTTCACTCGACTGCTAAAGGCAACACAGGAGCGACCACGACCGTGAACTTAATACAGCTCTCACGATTAGCACTCAAAAGTACGGTGATCTTAATACAGCTCTCCTGACTTCTCACAAAACAGTAATGAAAGAACAAGTGGTATCTATTCATCGAATTCCATCACAGCGATAATTCTGGTGGGGGAGTACTGTAGTGTATCTTCCACTACAAATATACAATTCCAATTCTCTAGTATGTAAGACATGTTAACTCGATCCTATGGTGGGGTACCTTTTCATAGATGAAGGTTGACATGGTCTATAACTACTCAATCCCCACAACAGCTATAGAAAAAAAAAAGACAAACTTAGTTTTGATATACAAGCGTTGCTTGTAGAGCTCCATTTCTACAAGTTTAGTTTGTAGAAGTAAGCACTAGCTTACATCTACAATTTGCCGGTTAAAATAAAGCAGAACGTACCCCATGTTGGTTTTTGAATAAACTAGTATTAAATATTTATAAAATACTTCAGCAAAATGTTTAATTTCAGCTACTTTGTTTCAGGTACGACATGGACGGAGGAGATTGTCTCACTGATTTGTCAGGGAGGAGACGTGGAAAAAGTTAAGAAAGAGCCTCTCGTTTATAGAGTCCACCACCTTGAAGTTGGCAGTCCATTCGGACATTCTCGCTTCTTGAAAAAGTTACCTTCTCCTCGGTTAATGGCGACACACTTACCTCTTCCTCTGTTACCAAGAGATCTAAGAAATCCTAAATGCAAGGTAACTAACTACAATAAGTGTTATCACCGGATCATTTCTGAACGCTTTCGGTCAACTTTACGGCTAAAAAAGTCATCGATCGTGGTACCTTTGTACTAGACGATTGGGGTGCTTTTGGATAGGGCAGTGACCGGATATACTTCATTCCTGACAGCTTTCGGTCCAATTTATGGGTAAAAAGATAGTCAGACGTAGTTCTTTTGGTACTAGATTATGTGACTAGGCATATTTCATACGTCACAGCTTTCGGTTTAGTTTATGGGTAAAAGAATATAGCCTGGTGTAATGTTTTTGTACTAGATTGTGTGACCGGACATTTCCGTTCGAAAGGAAGTGTCGGTTAAATCTTCGCGTTGACCAGAACGCAGTTCTTATAGTTACTTTAATCTTGTTGTAAATTTTCCACTAATTTTTTGATATTATTTTAGGGAACAGGAAATGCCCAAAAAGGCAGTTTAATTAATAAGAATTTTCCCACTAAATTTGCCAGCTAAGTATTGAAAATTGAATCAAATCTCTAAAAGAGCTAAAAGTCGGATACAATTTCTTAATGTGTGTTCCTTTTTTTTGCAATAAAAATATTCTAACTATTTTTTCCTAATAAAAATATTCTAACTATTTGTGTGTCCTTTACCTTAATAACTTTTATTCTGCATACTGTAAAATAAATGTATCGTAACTTTTTCATTATTTTATCATTAAATTTTTGTTGGTTTAGTTTAAGCAAGAATAATGGTATTACTGAAATTGAAAGCAAAACTTTTTTGTGTTTCAGATTATCTACGTAATGCGAAACCCGAAAGACACGGCTGTTTCATATTACCATCATCACAAAATAAGTTCTTTTCTGGGTAATGCTTCACATTCGTGGGATAAGTTCCTTGCTTACTTTATGGCAGGACATGGTAAGATCTCTCTTATTGCTTTACTTATCGTTATACTATTGCTTTACTCATCACCGAGTTTTCGTACTTATCGTCCTCTTTGCGACTATTGAGGCTATTTTTCGTAGCGTGACCAAATTTGATTAAAGAAGATTGATTGAACTTAATCGAATTTTTTAAATATTTTTTGTGTTCCGTCATTTAACGGGAATACAAAAAATGTCCTCATATTTTCCCTAAGACATTTAAAAAAAAAATACAAATTTTAAGAAATTGGCTCTTTTAATTTATGATTTTTAAGATATTCTTTAAGTGGAGCAATTTTTTTTGTTTATTTTGAATAAATCTTCTATTTCTAAGTGAGTTGTGAAAAATTATTGTTATTAGTTACTAAAAAGTTTCAAACAAAACTTTGTTTTTTTCCTTATCATTATTTTAAAATTTATGCATTAAAAATCTGAAACATTATTTTTCAATTTAAGGCAAAATAGCATAATATATCTAGACATTTAATTTCCGAATACCAATAGGATTAATAATTTTTGAATCACAGCATTTTAAAAAGGGAAGGCACAGCATTTTTATTGCGTTATAAAAATTGGAGGAAAAATAATATTCCTTTGTGTTCCTGTTTCCCTCAACATGCTCCAGATGTCCTCTTTATGCTCCGGCTTTCCTCAGCATGCTTCGATTTCTTTTTTCCTGTTCCGACTTCCCTTAATATGCTAAAAATTTCCATAACATTCTCCTTCTTTCTTTTTTGTGTTCCGGCTTTCCTTAACATGCTCAGGATTTCCTTAACGTTTTCCGTCATCCTTTTTAATGTTTCGTCTTCCCTTTTTATGTTCCGACTTCCTTTAACATGCTAAAAATTTCCTTAACATGCTCCTCCTTTCTTTTTTGTGTTCCGGCTTCCCTTTTTATGTCTCGACTCCCCTTAAAATGCTAAAAATTTCCTTAACATTCTCCTCCTTTCATTTTTATGTTCCGATTTCTCTTAACATGCTCAGGATTTCCTTAACATGTTCCGGCTTCCTTTTTTATGTTTCGAATTCCCTTAACATGCTCTGACTTCCTTTTTTATGTTCCGTCTTCCCTTAACATGGCCTGGTTTTCCTTTTTATGTCCCAACATTTCTTAATATACTCCGGCTTCTCTTTTTATGTTTTGGTTTCATTTAACATGCCCCGGCTTCTCTTAATATGCCCCGGATTTCCTTAACATCCTCCGGCTGCCTTTTTTTTGTTCCGGCTTCCTTTAACATGCCACTGCTTCCGTTAACATGCTCCGGATTTCCTCAACATCCTCCGGCTGCTTTTTTTTGTTCCGGTTTCCTTTAACATGCCCCTGCTTCCGTTAACATGTTCCGGTTTTCCTTAACATCGCTCCAGATTTGCTTAAGATCCTCCGACTGCCTTTTTTATGTTCTGGCTTCCTTTAACATGCCTCTACTTCCCTTAACATGCCCCGGATTTCCTTAACATCATCCGGCTGCCTTTCTTATGTTCCGAATTAACAGTAACTAAGGTTGAGTTAAAATGTCTAAATCGAGATGAAAATTTATTTTGTTGCATAAAAGAAAGATGCCTATTCTAAATTGATTTATGACAGAAATTTCCTACATAGTCTATTCCTTATGAATTTTGAAAACAATAACGCTCTTTAAGAATATTTTTTACAGTATTTCATTGATATTCTTTCTTTTTCAGTTGTGTACGGATCTTGGTTTGATCATGTTCTCCCCTACTGGGAATTCTGCAAGAGAAACCCAAATAAAGTTTTCTTTTTATCTTATGAAGAACTAAAACTAGTAAGGGCTGCTTAAAATTCATTAAATACAAGGTGTGGTTATTAATTTCTAAGGCTTATAGAAAAATATTAGATGAATTACATACCCATATAATATGTTTCAATATGTATGATAAAGTTCCAGACACAACTTTTATAGTCCTCTTTCGGAATGCTCTTCAATTGGGATACCTACAAGTGACGTTGTGTGGGTATCTTGATCCTGATTGGTTGTAGAAACGTGACATTTGCTTACGTTAGCAACTGTTCTTTCCATTCTATTCCAAGTAAACCAAGCCTGTCAAGTATTTATTCTCTTAAGTGACACATTCTACATTCTTTCACAAAGATTCTTTTTCAAAGGTTTCAATTCTTTCGCTATATATTTACACAGAGACTTAACACAAAGACAGGCACGAATCCATGTGGAACCTAAACCAACTAATTGCGCATCGAAGTTGCCAGGTACACAAAACAAAAATATGTAACGATAACAATAAAATACATAAGCAAATAATAAATTTAAGTTAAATAAAAGAAGTAGATGGGAAAGAATTATATTTCAACTACTAAAATGTGCGATACGGCTCTGTATTTTATTAGTTTATCGTTAATTAACTTTCTAATTTATGTAGAGAAACTTAGCTCAACTTTAATGCGCCATTTTGCTGATAAATATTAGTTGGCGCTGACGTCATAGGTCACATGTGTGGGTATGGGAGGTTTTCTTCTTCTTAAAGTGCAAGTACCCAATTCCAACATTCTTAAACCTAGTTCTCCCAGCAAATTTTTCAGATTTCGCTATGGCGAATGATTTATCTCCAGAATATCTGAAAGTGAAATTTTTTGCTCAGTGTTCTTCGAAGCTCTTTGGCCTAAGAAAAGCTTACGGCAAAGTATTATTTTTAACTGTGTAAATATATGATCTTGCTGCAAGTGTTCTAGAACGGACAATTAACTTCAAAATTAAAAAAGTTTTGAAACTTTTTTTTAAAAAAGTCGCCAATTTAACGAGATTATTTGTACCTAAAGGGAAATCATCAGTCATTTTTCAAGAATGTTTCACATGTAAGAAACTTTGAATATTGTTTTTGAAACTTTTTTACATCTAAGTACAGAAATGTATTGGTAGGTGATATGTAATTCACTTAATATTTTCACAAGTCCTGGAAATTAATAATCTCTTTTTTCAGGAAATTTTTTATCGTGTTTGCAGTAAATGAATTAAAACATTATAAGCACCTACAATTCTTAAATAATGATGCACACTGTGCAAAAATAAATAAGTATATAATTAAATAAAAAACATAATCTCACTGAATAACATTTGATCTAATTGTAACTTTCTTGCTATTTAAGTTCCTTCTTTGCCATCACGTTGTTTCTGTCTTTCGTGTCTTTATTTTTTATGTAATATATTTAATGTTGGTCGAATTTGAAAAGTATAATAAAAAAAGGGTATTAATTGACAATTTAATGAAAAAAACTGAACGCCTTAATTACACCTTATTTATATGATTTTCATGTGCTAAGTAATAATACTTATAATTTAGGCATAAATATTGAATTTGTTAATAGATTTGAGCAAATGATATTTTAAAACACAAAAATAAGACATAAAAACTTATTTCTCAACTGGGAATTGAACTTTTTAAGGAATTTAAAAGTTTTGTCCCTAAAACTCCGGAGGGGCAGTCAATAGTTTAGACGAGAAGTTTGAATCTCTTAATTTTATACTTTTTCTGCATTTCGTTACATCTCCGTAACTTCTCGCACGAATCGATACAATTTTCGACAACAATTATAAAATTCGTTTATCCAAAAAGAATTCTTGAAAAAAATATCCTTCAATTTATAAAGTGTTCCTGGTTAGGTTGAGTTAACGTGAAAATCCAGAATTTGGATAGAATCTATCGAACACTTCGCGGAAAAAAAAATTCTCATATTTATGAATAGTTTCACTTAAATTTCGGATTTATTATTTAAAATTAAAGGATTTAAAATAATGTTAAAATTTGTATACATTACAATGTAAAGCATTTTCGTCACTCTATATCATCGTGCGAAATTAGTTAGGGATGTAATACTTATAAGTGTTAAATTTAGTCTTTGTTTGTCACCCTTCATGACAATAAATTATTAAACCTAATTTTTTATTGTAAATAAAGTAAGCATCTCAGGTTATGTCTATTTACCCAGTTGCCACATTTCTCCCTTCTTCTTTACTACGAGCGTCTCACGGTTACGTAATTTCCCCTGTCTTCACACATTTCTCCTCTCTTTTACTATGATTTCGAAGAAATATCTCGTTCCCTCATTATCAACACATTGGATTAGATATTAATTTTTTTCATGTTCTCAGGATCTGGGTGGCATGGTGAGGAGGCTTTCAGACTTCCTGAAACAACCACTGTCAGTGGAAGAGGTGGATGCGATTGTCAACCATTGTTCTTTTGAGAGTATGAAGACGAACAAAATGGTGAATCGTGAAAACCTGCCAATAAGTGATTTGTTTGACATGACACAGTCTAAATTCATGAGGAAAGGTAATGTTCACACTTCGTCTTATGTATACCATTTCACTCTAACATATTACAAGAATTTGACAAAATAATTTTGAATCAAAACTTTTATGGACTTTTTAAAAATATAGAATATTCGATTCATTGCAATTAGTGCTACAAAAAGCCCTCAGTTTTTAAAGCCCCGGAGTTTTGGGGAAGCATTAGAAAATTGTAAAATAAATAAAACTGGCTTATTTACAATATGATTTGAGTGTGCAATGTAACAGATGCAATGTACAATTTGAGCAGTTTAATTTACTTAAATAAAAATGAAGTTCGCATTTGAGCAGTTAAATTTACTTTAATTTAATTACAATTATTTTAAATATATTCTTCTTAAATACTTCACATAAATAGTATCGAAATACTTCGTTAAAAGTCATTCAAAATTTTTGTATTTTTAACTCTATAAATTTATTCAGAAATATTAAATATAATCACACGGAGATTAAATATTTTCCAATAAATGCAATTAAAAATTTCTGTTATGATTATTTCAAAAGAGCGAATTTCAGATTTTTTCTTTAAAATTACAATTGCATAAAATTAAAAAAAATGACGTAAAGAAGAATGCTAATTTTCAAAGTATACTTTTAAAGAATAAACAAAAAGTTTTAAAAGTTTACAAAAAGTTAATAAACTAACTGACCGTAATGCTTCTTGCGAAAGACTTCTGTGTGTAAAATGCGAATACATTGATTTAAATGATAATTTAAAGCATTGAGAAAAAAAAAATCAGAAATTTTCGATTCAGTGGAATAAAGCGACAACTCTAATTGAAAAACAGAGTTCAAAACATCAAAATTTCGAGTTCAATAAACATGAATTCTAAAAAAGTTTAAACTCAGCAATATTCTCAAAGACACAATGTCTTTTTATTTTATTTTTTAATTTTATCTCCTACTTCATTCTTAATTTTTACAAACATTCAATCACAAATTTTAGATTAAAGTAAATTGTAAATATTGAAATAGCTGCTAAATTAATTCGCATATATTAATGTCTCTATGAAGTTTAAAACGTTAGAATTCGTGTAAAATAATATTTGAGAAAATAATGTAAGTTAAAAGGTAAGAACATTTTAAACATTAATTTTTGTTAATCAGTTTAATATTATAAATAACGAAATTTTTACAATTTATTGTCGATAATTTGTGATATGATTTTTGTAGAAACCAACCTAGTGCTTTAATTGTCTTTTTTAATGTCTTGTGCTTAGGGAACTTAGAAATTTCGCTTCATTCTCCAAACAAACAATATCTGTCATCGACTTATTGGTTTTATTCAGAGACAGATTNATTGATTTAAATGATAAAAAACATTGCGAAAAAAAATCAGAAATTTTCGAAATCTCTTTCCTCCCCAAAAGAACGGCTTGCTTAGGGGAATAAACCGGCAACTCTTATTGAAAAGTAGAGTTCAAAACATCAAAATTTCGAGTTGAATAAACATGAAATCTAAAAAAGTTTAAACTCAACAATATTCTCAAAGACACAATGCCTATTTGTTTTCTTTTTTAATTTTTTCACCTATTTCATTCTTAATTTTTACTGATATTCGATCACACATTTTAGATTAAAGTAAATTGTAAATATTGAAATAGCTGCTAAATTAATTCGCATATATTATTGTCTCTATAAAGTTCAAAACGTTAGAATTCGTGTAAAATAATATTTGAGAAAATAATGGAAGTTAAAAAGTAAGAACATTTTAAACATTAATTTTAGTTAATCAGTTTAATCATATAAATAACGAAATTTTTACAATTTATTGTCGATAATTTGTGATATGATTTTTGTAGAAACCAACCTAGTGCTTTAATTGTCTTTTTTAATGTCTTGTGCTTAGGGAACTTAGAAATTTCGCTTCATTCTCCAAACAAACAATATCTGTCATCGACTTATTGGTTTTATTCAGAGACAGATTTCATTTTATAACCATCGTTTAACAACCGACCCAATTTTTCAGGCTTACGACTGCTAATATTCAACTCCGTAGTCATGTAATTTTGAACCCAATCCTGAAGACAATGGAAGTCCTGGATCAAGTACAGGGAGAAATTTTCCTTCTTTGAGGACTTTTTGATGGAACTATCTCTGGGGGTACTGATCCAGGAGTTTCCTTGTCTACTGGATTGGGTTCAAAATTACAAGGCTACGGAGTTGACCCATCATTAAATCAAAATTGGGTCGGCTGTTCAATGACGATTATAAAAGCTTATCGTCATATATTTTCTGGGAAGCTATATTTTATTAATTATTTTAGTTCAATAGTGAGGGAATGACTCGTGTATTTAGTTACATCAAATATAAATGAAAATTTGAAAATAAATTTGAAAATTATTGATGCCATCGCCTATACACTTTTGACCAATACTATTTTCTCTTAGGAATCATAGGCGATTGGAAAAACTACTTTACGCAAGAGCAGTCTGAAGAATTCGACGAGGTTTGTTCCGATCGCCTCAGTGGATGCGATCTTCCTATTCTGGATGATCCCGAGGAAGTGATCCGATATTTCTCCGATTTCGGTAGAATTATTTACAACGCTCCAGAGGCATCTTTGAGCTCCGACGAGGAGGAAGATGAGAGCGAAGATGAATCATCGTATTCACGGGAAATGACAGTTCGAAATTGTTATTCTTTTATTCCACAGATGCAGCTTCATGTACAGCCAGATCCCTTAACACTCGATTCACTTGGATGACAAGAAGCTCATTTTGTTTTTTTGTAAATATTTATTCTTATTATATTTTTAACAAGGAAACATCCTGCATTGAAAAGACTGAGTTATCGGACACTGAACAACTTGAATTTAGTTCTTTCTTCGAGGTAATTTTCATTGGGAAGATACATTCACACAATCACGCAGAAGAAAAGACATAGAGCATAGAGAGAGTGAGAAAGTTACATCCATGTCTACGGTGGGATTCGAACCTACAACCACTGGCCCCGTAGTCCAGTTTTACAAATAACATATATACCGAACTTCATCGACATCAGAATGGATACTATTACTCTGTATATTCACTGTACATTTTCATTGTTTCTGAAAATACTTGTTGACAAAATGAGGAATGTTGAAAGATCATTGACCTTATCTTATCCTAATAAAATAAAAGACACTCCATTGCAGTATTTACATCGAATTTAAAAAACGTTGCTCCATCATCTAGATTAACACCAAAGTGTCCATTTATAGTTAATAAAACCTTTAATTTCTTTCTAAAATTCTGTTTTGTTAAAAGGAGAACAGGTTAGTGTATTATCCTTGTAGTATTATCATATAATTTTCCCGTGATAAGAATTTTTCACCCAAATCTTAATAACTAGTATGTTGCACCGTTGGCCCTTCATGGTAGTTGATGTTTAAGCCTTTTAGGGGAGTTCATGCCAATAAGCTCATCATCACTCATGCTTTGAAACATATAAATCAGTTGGTGTACCGATAAAATATCCAGCCAGATTTATAAAAAACGTTGATTGAAGATTTCAATAAAAGAGCTTGTTTGTGACCGTTACCTAATATGCTGCACAGTATATTTTATGATTAATAAAAATTCCCATTTTTTAAAATTTATCAAAAAGCTCTGTTTTCTATCAAAATTTCTTTTCACTTGAATTTCGGGCACCCTTCATTTCAAATAGATCTGGATAGCATTCAAGTAAATGTTTCATTTAATGTTTAAAATTTTTAGCTAATGCAGCATGTTGGAGTTTAACTGTTTAGTTCCCAATTGCAAAAACTAAATAAAAAAAATATTTATTTTATAATTATACTTGCAGAGTAGTTCAATTTTAAAGATTTCTCCACGAAGTTAAACTTTTAATTTCCTTCAGTGCCACATTGCGATCATTTGTTATCATTTTTCATCTTGTATAGTAAAAATTCCTCATGTTTGTCTCGTATAGGTGACGAATTACTATTGTTATATGCAATAAAGAAATTATTTATTTTTTGTTTATTTTGTTATTTCTACAGTAATAGAAACAATTTAATTGGTTTGTTTGATAGAGCTAAAAAAATGGACTATTAGTGACACGCGCAACACCACTACAACTTAGAGTGGTAGTAATCACACAACCTCTGTACCATGCTCCTAAACTGTACGTTAAAATTTGTGAACGTACAATTTACGTACGCGAATTGTACGTGAGATCACCGGAGACACTACATTGGAGTAGATTCTGAACCATTGAGGCACAATTGAAGAAAATGCAGTTCATTCAGGGCAGGGAATCAAACCATGACCGCTCTAACTTATTTCATTTTATAACCGGCGTTGAAGAACTGATTTATTTTTGAGCTTACGGCTATCAATGTTCACGTCCGTACCTTTGAATCCAATCCGGAAGACAAGGGAACTCCTGGATTACGCANAATGTCTAAATTTTTTAGCTAATGCAGCATCTTGGAGTTTAACTGTTTATTTCCCAATTACAAAAACTAAATAAAAAAAAGTATTTATTTTACAATTATGCTTGCAGAGTAATTCAATTTTAAGAATTTCTCCACGAAGTTAAACTTTTAATTTCCTTCAGTGCCACATTGCGATTATTTGTTATCATTTTTCATCTTGTATAATAGAAATTCCTCATGTTTGTCTGGTATAGGTGTCGAATTACTATTGTTGTATGCAATAAAGAAATTATTTATTTTTTATTTATTTTGTTATTTCTACAGTAATAGAAACAATTTAATTGGTTTGCTTGGTAGAACTAAAAAAAGGGACTATTAGTGACGCGCACAACACCACTACAACTTAGAGTGGTAGTAATCACACAGCCTCTGTACCATGCTCCTCAACTGTACGTTAAAATTTGTGAACGTACAATTTACGTACGCGAATTGTACGTGAGACCACCGGAGACACTACATTGGAGTAGATTCTGAACCACTGAGGCACAATTGAAGAAAATGCAGTCCATTCAGGGCAGGGAATCAAACCATGACCGCTCTAACTTATTTTATTTTATAACCGGCGTTGAACAGCTGATTTATATTGAGCTTACGGCTATCAATGTTCACGTCCGTACCTTTGAATCCAATCCGGAAGACAAGGGAACTCCTTGATTACGCATTGGGACAAACTAGCCTTCGTAGAGTACATTTTGATGAATCAAATTAGTATTTGCGTTACATGGAAAGGAAAACCACAAAAACCTCCCACGGTAAGGGGATCCTATCTCATGATCCGTCTACCACTAAGGATATTTCATGTCAGCACTGCGATTGGTGAAAGCCGTTAGCGGAAATCGTATCGATCAGACATCGCTGGGATTCCAACCTGGATTACCTCATTGGAGGTAAGCGCTTTATCCCTTGAGCCACTACTGCTCAACTCCATCTGATTGAAATAGATTGGTGGAAGTGAAAGAAAAGTTGTTACCCAAATTACAAAAACATTATCTTGATACAGTTAGTTTGAGATAAGTTTAGTTTCAACTTTACGCTGCATTTTGTTTTGTTGCGCTAAGACTATAAGACTTAGACATTTCAAATTAGGAAGGGGAATAAATGCACAGGGAGTATTATGGAATAAAAAAAATTAATACTCAATTGTTAGCTAGAGAAGTATTAATTGTTAAACATGTAGTGAAAAAACTATGCGTACCCCTCTGCAGTTCGCAGAATTGCATTTATAGAGTTGAAATTTGAAAAGGGACTTTTCCATTTATGAACTTATTGCAAGCATTTTTTTCAAAAATTCATTTTGTTCAAAAGTTACTGCTATTTTAAGCTCTTTTTCCATGATTTTTTTTATTGCTTCTATAAATGATTATTTAAAAGTACTAAAAATGAAAAAATAAAATTAAAAAAAAGATTGTGAGATTAGATGCCATACCAAAGAAAACAATTTTCGTCGCAAATTGTCTTTATTCTTCATTAGTAATTTAAAATTTAAAGTGTAGAAAAAGTACCTTAAGGCAAACCTAGAGTAAGCCATAAAGTTTCAATTGCTGAAAAAAATACTTCAAAATATTAGAACGCGAACAAATTATTAGAATAGAACTTCACCGTTGCGTCATCCTAAGTTATCTTCTCAAAATTTATTTTCATTTGTATATTTCAAAATTTTCATTTCAGTATTTAAAACTTCATGGCTTACTCTAGGTTCATCTGAACTCACTTTTTCTGCACTTTAAATTTTAAATTAGTAATGAAAGAAAAAGAGAATTTGAGACGAAAGTTTTCTTCCGTGGGATGGCATCCTCTTGAACATTTGTATAGAAAAAAAAATGTACTCAAGAGAGATAAAACTTATAATTTGATGATTTAAGGTTATATATTACATATTGTTAAGTAGCTAAATACCCGTTCTTCGTACGGGATGCAAAAAAGTAATCAAATCGGCTCTGAACAACACTACGAGATCCTACACAAAACTGAAAAACATACACCACAACTAATAAAGCTAAAATAATTTTAATTTTTCCCTATTTTTAATTTATCTTAAAATAATTTTAATTTAAAGTTAAAATAATTATAATTTAATTTTGATTATTATAGTTGATAGTCAAAATTTACCACAATCATGCAATTTTCTTCAATATTTATCCCTTTATAGCTGAAAAAATCTCTTTTCACAGTTTCTATGTTCAATTTTTCCAGTATTGATGCAGTTTTAATAGGTATCATAGATAATAATACAATACAATACATTGTATCTTTATTTGTACATTTGGTACTTATTAAACCAAAACACTCTCTTCTCTTGTTTCTGTAAACAGCTAAATCGATCACCTGGTAAATGCACCTCGTAAAGGTTAGATCCACTGTTTGAATTAATAAAGCATTAATAATCTTTAATTTAGTTTAATTTTTACGTGTTTAAAAAATATATAAAAAAAAAACTTGGCTGTGTTCTACATTTTACGTCGACTTTTTGCTTGCACCCGGCTAATTGAAGAGTAGGGGAGAGTGGGGTCAATTGTAACAGGGTACGATTGTAACAGAGCAAAAATTTCGAGTGCTGGGTTCTAGATTTGTTCATAGGTGGCGCATAAGGTGTATTTAATAAATCTACATGTACACCCCTGATGGCAACCATTTTTATGTACTTTTGAAAGAGTTACATCACAAAAGATATTTTCACGCCACGCAAGTCCTTTTTTTGGTATTAGAATATTATATTGTAACAAAGTAATTTTGTTTAAACAAATAAAAATTAATAACCGAATATGTAAGTGGACACCTTAATTAATCTTTCAATAAAAAAAAGATTAGCTTTGCTAATTAACTAGCATTATTTTTTACAAATAAAGCTGAAATGGCGTCTTGGGGACAATTGTAACAATAAGTAAAGGGACGATTGTAACAGCTGAAAATAAATAATCTTATGTTTACAAACCATTACTTAACTCTTTAAGAACCACCAATAGTTTCCTATATCA